AATGCCGTTATATCCCTCTATGTTTGGAGATCAAACTGTACGGAATACTCTAGATGGAGTCTTTCCGATATCCTGTAGCGTTGCTGACTTACCTCCTTTTATACTCTATCACCTTTACCATGAATGCTAATGTTTTCCATTTGCTTACGTAATTATTTACGGTATCTGCATGATAACCTTTTTGTCTGATTCATGTATGAAGACACCCAGACCCTTCTGTACTATTCTGCAGTTTTTCCTTTTATATATTATCACATTTTTCCATATAATATTCCATTAGCTGAATGTTTGCCAACTCATTTAACTGCCTACATCCTTTTGCGGACACTTTAAGTCACTCCTTGCTTTCCTACCTGCCTGTGCATCACTGGTGGATTTGGTTACAATGTAGTCAGCCCCATCATCCATTTATAGAAATTTAAATCATTAAGGCCCCTGCATTTCACTCATTACATGTTGCCAACCTGAAGATGACCCATGTAACCTGACTTGGTTGGTTAAAACCCACACCTCCCCAACATCATGAGTTCATTTGTAGGAACAGTTTATGTAATACCTTAACCCAAATACACATCTTCCAGTTTGGCTTTATCCATCCTATTGTTACATCCTTAAAGAACTCCAGTAGATCTATGGAAGTGGTGAATGGGGTGCCAATGAGTTGGGCTACATTGTCCCAAAGGGTGTTGAGCTGCTTCAGCATTAATAGAATTACTCCCATCCAGGCAAATGGGGAGAGCATTCAATCACATTCCTGCCTTGTGCCTTTCAGATGGTGGACAGGCTTAGGGGGGTACAGAATGGGTTAGTCCCCATAGAGCTCCCAGCCCCCAACTTGCTATTGTAAGCACATGTGTTGTTCATTGCAGATCACATGTTGGTTTCTCTTGGGGAAATTGACTCTAGCTTTACGCACTTATTGAAGAGCATATTGTTTCTCTCTTTCCATCCCTTACTTCCAGCAAGCATCTCCACAAGTGATACTGCACAGCGCAGAGTATGAAGATGGACTGGCTGCCTTGTGTGTTATGACTGCTCCCATGGCTCCATATCTAGCGTCAGAGTTATGGAGAGGTAAAAATTTAAACTTTTACAATTTTTAATGGAAAACAATGGTGCACTGGCAAAAAAGAGTTTGTAGTCCCAGTACTTGAATGCGATTTTAAGTTAGGGAGGTGGTGGTAATGTCGCTGAGCCAGTAATGTTCTGAAGATGTGGGTTTGATTCCCACTATGGCAGATAGTGAGTTATGAATCAAAAAATAAGCCTGGAACAAAAAGCCAATCTAATGATGACCATGTAACCACTGTCAATTCTCGTCTGGATTTTTAATGTCATTTGGGAAGGAAATCTACCTTTCATACCCAGTCTGACCTAGACATGACTCCACACCCACAACCAATGTGATTAACTCTGAAATTACCTCTGACATAGCCCTAGCCAACTACTTAGTTTAAGGGTAGTTGGGGATGGACGATAAATGCTGGCCTAGCCATTGGCACTGACATCCCATGAAGAAACAAAAGCTGTTCGCTGAGACAGCCCTGCTTTTTATTGCTATTGGTCATATATTTTAAAATATCAAGTATGGAACACTCACGTTATCGGCAGCAGGGACTCAGTTTTGCATGAATCTGGAGTGCAGCCTTCCAGTATTTGAGTTTCTACAGGCTGACTCTATTCTGTTACTGCATATCCCCAAAGCTATATACGGTTATCTGATAACTGCTTGCCTCTACTGGCACTGCAAGATAAAATTATCCTCTTGGCCTAAATTAGAGTAGAAAACACATAGGTCTCATGTAAAATTCTGCTTGCCTAATTATTGACTGGTTAGGCTTCATGGCTTCTTCACGTTACCACAAAACATATAAACTAAAAGCGGGAGTCGGCCATTCGGCCCTTTGAGTCTATTCTGCCATTCAATGTGATTGTAGCTGAATCTCTATCTCAATGCTATTTTCCTACTTTCTTTCCATAGCCCTTGATGCCTTTAATATCTCAAAGTTTATCAATCTCCTTCCCTCTCCCCACTCCCCCCCCCCCACTCTCTCTCTCTCTCTCTCTCTCTCTGTCTCGCACACACGCGCACACGCACATGCACACGCACGCATACACAGAAAGTGTCTTAATCGCATGGAAGTATAACAGCTTTTGATGAAGTAGCCAAAGAACAGCCATTCCAATTAACTGATGGAGCAAGACCTCGGTAAAACAGGTTTAAAGTTTGGTCAAGAGCTGCAAGTGAGATATGAGGAAGATATTTTTAACAGCGAGCATTCTCCCTGTTAAAATGATTGAGAACAAGGGGGCACAGATTTACAAGAGTAAAGAAGTATGTGAAAATGCAGCAGTCGGCAGAAAATATTCAACAGTTTACATTTATAACAGTTACATTTATAACAGAAGCCAAGGCAGTTTAGAAAAACAAGCTTTATTCATATAGTAACAGGTTGGGGTCTTGTAAGCACTGCATGAAGTGGGATAGAGGTAAGTTCAATCAAATCATTCAAGGGAACATTTGGTGATTGTTTTCAGGGTTGCAGAGAAAAGGCAGGGGAATTTAAGTTATAATACGTGTTTGAAGACACGATGGACTGAATGTCCTCTATCAGCACTGTAATATGACTCTGAGAATGGTAATGACCTGGAACTCACTGTTGGAAGTGGAGATGATCGATGATTTCAAAAGGAAATGCTACAGGCACTTGAGGGAATTGGATTTGTATGGCTGTGGGGCTAGAACAGTGGAATTAAGCTGACTGGATTGCTGGACAGAGAGATAGCACGGACTCAATGGCCTCTTTTGGTGCTGAAACAACTTTTGGACTTGGCACGCGTTTGTTATGGATCTCGCATACCTTGTTGAGTTCCACGTGTGAGAGCTGCAATGCTATAGAGTTGTTCGACACAATTAATCACCTCTCCAGATGTGCAGGCGACTTCCTGGACCTGCACATAAAACAATAGCAGGGATCCCTGATGTGTGATTTTCTTTTCTGGCATTAGACTAAGTGGAGGCCTGCTCCAGTATTGGTTGAACTCTGCTCACAATTTGCTTTAACCAAAGCACAGAAAAGTACTTTCTTCTGGGCTGAAGCATCTCTGCATTCTTGTTCTCTGCTGTGCCACCCAAGCTCTTTCCTGAAGTGACCCCATATGAATGCCTTGTGACCCTGGACGGCAAGAAGGAAAGTTACCAAACAATAAACAAATAATTGAGGTTGGTTGGCTCGCCGAGCTGGTTTGTTGTTCCGCAGACGTT